AATTTTATATTAAATTTTCAGTTAAATTAAAATTAAAAAAACCCAAAAAAAAGTTTCAGATCTCCGATAGCCGCAGATTCTGCGATTTGCATAGCATGACACAAATATTTGCCGCCCTGCAATTCTCCGCTAGCAATTCTTCTCATGCTCCACTTTGATTTGCTTATCAAGATCAAAGAGATCGCTGCTCTTCTGGCACCTCCCCTCACTCTACCCTATTCGATTTGAAACAGCCAGAAGAACGGGAAGAACTGGCTGCAGCACAACAAAAAACACCCGCACAAATCTAAATCTCCAAGAGCAACAATAGATTTTGACGTCTTACGGAAATTGTGTAGAAGAGCTGCAATTTGCTGTGGCCTCCAAGTTCAACTAACATTAAAAGAAGTGCACAGAAAACAAGAAACGGGAGAAGAAAAGTGGAAGCTGTGGGGCTGCGCAGAAGAAGAAATGCCGCAGAAGAGAAGGCAGGAGACTGGAGACCGAAGACTGAAGACTGGAGAATCAAGCGAAGACAATTCGAGTTGCGTGCTCTGCGTGAGCGTCGTGCGTTTGACTGACTGACAAACTGACGAACGCCAAAACTGAACCGGGCCTAAACCAAAGCGAAAACTGAAGACTGGAGACTGAAGACTGCGGCCCGAAGACTGCAGACTGAAGACCAAGACTGACTAGGCCCATCATCCATCCATTTATTTCTGAGTTTCTGAACTGCAGTTGCGGGAGTTTGCAACGGCAAAAGGAAAACCAAATTATACACATGCATGCACTGGGAGAAAATATAAGAAGCCACAAAAATAGTTGAAGTCTAATTTAGGAAAAGAATTTCATAAAAATAAATTTTTTTCTTATCCTGATTTACTTAATTATTTTTTATTTTTATTTCAACAAATTAAAACATGTATATAATACTAAAATACACTGGAAACAAAAATCTTTTAGCCTGATATGATCTATTTAAATATAATAACACATAAATATTTTTCCCAGTGCATACAAGTCCGAGTTGAAGACTGGGAACAACGCCTCCCGCACTTATCCCCCTTCGGGCCACACCAACACAATTGAAATTCCTCTAGCGCAGAAATTGCATTTCACGCTGGAAATGCGTGCTCTGCGTGCAGCAAAAAACCAAAACTAAAGTGCAACAGCAACAATAACAACAACAACAGAAAAGAATTGCCAGTGCAACAACAACCACACATCAGAAGCTGCATTTTGCAGTCAGAAGAAAGACAAGTTCTGGATGCACTAACGAAATTCTGGTAAATTGGTTAATAAAAAAAATTTTATAATCAGAACCTCTATTATAATATTTCTGACAATTATCTCCCGTTCATGATATATATTTAAAAAAATTTTATTATGTAATTTCCGAAGAAAGAGAAACTCCAGGATAAGAAAGAGTTGTGAGTGTGAATATCAGTGGGAGGCTGCCAGGTAGCTTTTTCTATTTCTTTATTTTTTTGGATCCCAAAGTGTAGGTGCTGGCGAAGGAATTGTGGGATGCAGCTGGGCTCATTCCGTCATGCCGGAAAATGCCAAAAGCGCAACACTTGCAGACCCAGAAGCCCCAAAGAAGACACAAAATTTATTTTGCACACAGAAACAAATATTCTTTAAATAAAAAATAACATTTAAAAAAATAGTATCTCTGATCTTGTTGTAAAAATTCATTAAAATTATTATTAAACAAATTTGCTTTTAATGCTATTAATTAAATTTTCCTTTCTGTGTAAACTCCTGTCACGTTCCAACTTACGCTTGCAGCTGAATATACCTTTCCAGATATTATTAGGCTTAATTTAAGTTGGCATCAAATTGAAATCATCTCCGCTTTTCACATCTCCGCACAACATTGTCATATATTCCATGGGTATTTTTTTTTTGTTGATTTTTCCTCCACTACTTTGCTACTTTGTTGTTGTTTACTTTCCAAGTCTTTCGATTGCTAGAAGGAAACAAAAAAAATCTCCACACTTCTGCCTCTGTTGGATTTGTTTGTTGACACTCGCAACTTTTTCGCAGCCCACACAAAAAATTATGAGGGCCAGAAAAAAATGGAAGGAGGGAGGTAAATGAGAAAAAAGGGTTCCCCAGATGAGACAGCAAGTTTCGCTCGCTGATATAATTAGTAAACATTTTGCAGTGTGTAAACAGGGCATTGCTTATAACTGAATTAAGATTGTTTTTCAATTTGGCAAGAACAGCAAAAAAAACTTTGAATAAGTTATAAATATACTTACTATTTTTAAATACCAAATGTTTTTTTTGTGGAAAAATGAAATTAAAAAAAATGAAATGTGGTAGAAACTACACAGAAGAAACATTTGATATGATTAATAATAAATTTATGTTTATGTTTGATATGTTTGATAATAGATCAAATCATCACATTTCAAATATATTGTAATTATACTATATTAAATACCAAATTTAATATTTTTTAAAAATAATATAACAAAAATATAATCTTTTTCATATTAAAGTGATACAAAGCCCTTTACCTTTAAAAAGATAAAATTGACCAGCTATGGACATGAAATTGGCTCTCAGCCCCAAACCTTTTTTAATCCACTCAACTTGCTGTTTGAGGCATAAAAAAAATATTAAACGACATCGCCTGGACGTCAATTAACTGGAATCATTTGATCAATTCCATTTTCATTAGCCTTCGAATTACTTCCAATTGATTTATACTGAAGTTGCTACCTTACCTACGCCAATTAGTGCACTTTTTATTTATCACAGTTTTTTGATGCAACTTCGGGGCATTCGTTATTATTATTTTTTTTTGCCTTTTGGCATGACGTCAAGCTGTTCCCTTGGCCGCCAATCCTTGTGTCAAACCGTTCTTAAGGGTAAATGGAAAATCCATTAATAAATAAAAAAGCGCCACTCACCTGCAACGAGAGAGAAAGAGAAAATACGTTAAAAAAGAATTTCATTAAGTGCATTGGGGGGTTCGGAGGGTCAAAGGAAAATACAAATAAAATTATAAATGGGCAGTACGAACACAAAAAAGCTAAAAAACTGGCCAGCAAAATGGCGAACACTTATACATACGCATTTATATATGTACATAGCGAGTGCATCCCCACACACACACAGGCAAAAACATACATTGATACTAATAAGCTGCCGAGTTTTGCGTGTGTCAACTTTTGCACTTTTTGCGCAAATGCAAATTGTGTATAAAGAAGAAAAAATAAAAGATGAAAGAAAACATATTTTCACACGAGACATGACGACACCCCCTACAACCCCCTCATCAGTCCATCTCCCTCGCACACTGCACGCTCCAGCGATTCGTTGGGCCAAAAGGGAGATATATATACAGATATATATATATATACACGGGCAAGTGCATTTATATATGCATATATGTTTACCTGTCCTATAACTTCATTCCAATGGCCGCCCTGCACTTCCCATAGGCCCTCTCTTTCTTTCTTTAGCTCTTTTTCATAAAAAAAAACAAACAAACAAAAAAACAAGAAGAAAAGCCCATGCATATTGGATGTCTACGAATAGTCCAAATATTTGTTGTAAAATCGCTACAGAGAACCCCCAAAAAACAGTAACAACAATGGTAACAACAATCGAAACACGCAAAGCCCAAAGACAAGGCTCTAAAATGTACACTGTGGGAAAAGTTATGGGCCAACAAGTTCTTGGGAAAATTAATAAATTCAACGGTCACTAGGAAATTTTTTTAACATTTTGGTATTATTTCTTTAAAAAATAGTATACAATTATTTCACAAAACTTTTTAAAAAATTAGAACAAAAACAAGTTACTTCAAGAAGTGATTATTATCTGTTTACCTTTGGAAAGTATTTTTTTGGTAGTTTGAATATTTTTGGTATATTTCGGTATTAAAAGCAGTATTAACTAAAATACGTTTGGCATTCAGTAATATATTTTTCTGCCACTGTAGGTCAAAGAGTAGGCGTGGTGTGTGTGTGTGTCGGCGACTTCTCCTTCCCCTATTTATTCCGATGGGCAGGGGTAGCTCGATTTCAGCTAAGGACATCCACACACACACACACTAAAACCGAAACTAGGGAAATACACACTATTCTTCCTGTTCCTATTCCTTTAGCTATTCTTCCACCCTTTTACCCCTTCGTTGTTGTAGTTCTTGGCTGAACGCATTTAATGGTCGAACAAATGCCTCGGTTTTCTTTTTTTTATTTTTCGAGGGTGAGAACTCGAGCACACACACACACACACACTCGAACAAGACGGTAAGGGTTGCTAACCCTCCTATGCGTATATAGAAATATACGGGATGGAAATAGTGCCCCTAGAGTGCGAAAGAAAGAGAGGACCTGCTGCTGGCACATTTAACCCATTGGCAGCCATTTTTAGTTTTGGCCACCACAAATCGAAACGATTTTTAAGAAAAGAAGCGGCTAAAGAAAAAACCCTTTCCAAAAAGTTTTTTAATATTTCGAAAAGTATTTTAATCGATATTAATTACCATTAATAACGATCATTTGTATCGAACCACTTTTTTCAGTATTTTTCCAGGAACCTCTCAGTTAATAGTTAAGATAGGTCAGTCATTTCCGTTTCGCCTTCAATATTAGATCAATCGAGCTTTTTGTCAAATACCCCAATAGATTTTTTGTATTCATCGATCGATGCAATGTATGCAGATCCATTGTGTCCAGCTGTTCAATTCACTGTCTTTCTTTTTGTTACATTTCATATTATTGATATTGATATTTCTTATCAACTTCCTGTTCCTGTAAGTTCCTGTCGTAAAACTAAGCTAAGCTATCCTTCACTTTTAATCTACTTCCTACTTTGCAAATCCATTGTATTTTTGATAAGAAACTAGGTTAAATGGCTTTATTATATTCTGGATTTCCCCTAATTGTTGAAGTGATAAAAAATCCAACAGAAAATTAAGGAATTGTTTCCACCCAGTAGTCGCTGCTTTTCAGTTTCAAAGTGTCAGAAAAAACGGCCTTTTCCAAAGTCATTTTATTCAGAGTGCTGGTCCGGAATAGACTCATATCGACTCATTTTTCTTTTGATTTTCTTTTATATCCGTTAAAATTTTCAATGTGTCACTAAAAGCCGGCCAAATTGTTGAACGAAACCCAAAAACAGATCTCGAGCCAAAATTGAAAGTGCGCCGTCTTTAGTCCGCGCAACCGCCAAACGAATCTACCGGGCTGAAAAGCGATGGCCAAGGATCAGGAGGGGGAACAGACGTATGAATCATCCGCCCCGGCGGAGTCCTCGGAGGACCAAAAACGGGAGCAGCGGGCCCGCCTTATCAAAGCCTTGAGCCGCTTCAAGCCACGAGATGCCAATCCGTTGCAGTTCTACAATTGCGTCCGCGAACTGTGCATAATGCACAATTGCAGCATCGACGAGGGTCTGGAACGGGCCGCCTTAACTTGGCCGGGACTAAGTATGCGCCAGCGAGAGCTCTACGATTCGGTAAGACCAGCTGGGAATTTGGGGGTTAGGAATGGGAGTAGTAGGCCTTATTAGGATTTTATGACCTATGCACCTAAAAATTGGCGCCCAACGTGGGACTTTTTTTTGTTTTTTTCTGTTTTTAGCTTTCTTTATCGATTTTTAATTTAAATTAATGTATGTATATCTTCCCTTTAAGCAACGTCATGCTGAGCTACCGATCCCAGTCCCGCGGCATCTCATCTACCGCGCCTTCCAGAAGGAGAGCAAGGGCCTGTGGTCCCTGGGCCGCTCCTCGGTGGGTGGCGGTGGCAAGCGGACCACCCGCTACACCCTGGAATCCTACAAGCCGCCGCCGAAGTTGTCCCGCCTGCGAAGCCAGCTGAACGAGAAGCGTCCCAAGTACGATAACCTCCTCGATTTGCCACCAAAAGTGGCTGCATCCCGAGTGCCGCCGGCGCCAAATCGCAAATTCTCGCGGGTTTCCCCGTCCTCGGGTCGCAGAATTCGCAGTCTTACACCTCCGGTGGTGAGGCGTGTCCAATCCATACGACAGATCCTTTCGATGGCCAGTGTAGAGATGAAAAAGCCGTCCAGGCGGCGATCAGGTCAGGCGAAAAGCCATCGTACAAAGAAAATGGAGCCCGGAAAAACGCAACCCTTAGCGACAGGAGCATCCAAATCGCTCGGAAATCAAAAGAAGACCAACAAACGAAAGGGCAGCAGCTGCTCGTCCAAGGTCAAACGGTTGGCCAAGGAGGAGGTTGCGAAGACGACGTCACATAACTGGGATCTGGCCATCGGTTGTGTTCGCCGGCGCATCCAGATGCACCAGCAGCCCTCCAAGTCAAGATCATAGCCCTGTGGCCCTATATATCTCATATATATATTCTGTGTATTATATAACTTGTTGCAGAAATGCTCTAGTGTCTCCCAAGTGAACAGACAGATTGTCGATCTTTAGATAAATTGATGGTATAAAATTGACGTACAAAATTTATGTATTTTCGTTTCCAAGAAAATAAATTCTTTGTTAAATACAAAAGTATTATAATAATAGAAGAACATTTATGTTTGAACTTCAGATCTTTTGAAGAGGTTTTATATTATTTTTATTTAATATAATAAAATTCAAATAATTGCAGATTATAATTTAATATATATTTAAATCTGAACCAGAGAAAATAACAAACAGAGAACCAATTTTTGTATTTTTTTACCACACAAAAAGCTTTTCAACTTTTTACATACTAATTAAATATCAAATATTAAAAAACAATTTTACTTGAAAAAGTTAATTAAGAGCAGCAAGTTTAAAGTTTCTGAACCAACTTAATTACGGCCATTTCCCCAAGCCTCAACCCAATTTATTCGCAAAGATCGTCGAACATTTGCGTACTCCTTTCATTCCCCGAGCCGATCTTCAACATAAAAAGTCGCCCATAAATACTATAATTAAAACCATTGAGATCTTAACATTAACATTTCGTTCGAGAGACAACATGAAAAAACACTAACAATTTTCTAAGCAATTTAATGGCATTTTATTTCGTCTATTGCCGCTGCTGGTTCCTCGTATTTTCCTCGACTTCTTTTTTTATTATTTTATTTTCTAGTTTCCAAGCGGGCGCAATCATTTTGATGAACCGTTAGTTAAGCACCACCAACAACAACAACGACAATAGCTAATAAAACATTAACGCACACACACAGGCATAAAAGCCCAAAAAAAGATAAATAAAATCAGCAGAAATAAAAAAAAAATTCGCAAAAGTTTTTTGTGTTTTTTTTTGCCAATCGGCACGCAGAAACGACGTTTGACCTAAATTCGGGGACAGCTCTTCTTCTACGTTTTCTACTATTTTTTGTTGTTGGTGTTCTCAACGCGCTTTTGTGCGTTACCCAAAAAAAAAGAAACGAAAACGCAAACGCAAAAATTCGCAAACTTTTTGCGGCTGCTAATTTTGCAAAGGCAAACAAAAAACATTTCAATTCCGCATAGAAAAAAAGAAGAGAGGAATTAGAAAAGAAACAAGCCAGAAACAACTGTACAAAAGTCAGTTTGTTTTATTTTCTTTTATTTTTATTTTTTTGATTGCCTATGTCGCGAATTTTTTTTCATTTTGCCTTTTGGCAATCTTTAGTTTTTACGGGATATTTTTTCGGAGAATTGGTCCGAGAATTTTGTATTCTACCTGTTTGGCAGAGGATTTTGTAGGTAAAATAGATATGTATCGCTTGTAGAGGGATTAGGGCTACATACATCTTTCTATATGAAGGGATTTAGGGATTATAATAATATTACATTTTTATTAATATAAATTTATAAATGGCATAAATAAAATAAATATTTTGAAGACGGGTATTTTCACATTAAATTAAACTTCCAGTTTTAAATCACAAAACCCCAGTTCAAATCATACATCATAATTATGAACTTTCGAAGAAGTTTCTGTGTTCTTTGGCCTTCTTTTCTAATGTCTTATCTATGCCTTTAATTTACTACCTTCATTTTTGTTAAAACTTTTTGCAAATATTTCTAGTACCTCAAACTTTTTGGCATAACCAACCAACTTAACCACCTTAATCGCCTTCGTCTAAGTTTCATTTGAATCATCCAATTTCATTGTCATTTTTTTTTCGTCTCCACAAAAGTTTTGATGACGCCCCAAGAAAAAAATAAAGACTACACACATACACAGACACATGTGCTCTATTTCATTTTCTTACCTAAGGGTATTACGATTTATTTAAAAAGTTTGCATTGCACTTAAAAAGAAAAATATTATTTATAAAGAAAGCTTTTTGGTAAAATTTTAAAGTTAAAAAAACTTTAACATTTTTGCATTTAAACAAAAAATTATGGTTTATAAAATTCTTTAGAAATTTGAATTAGAATGGAGAATACATTTATTATTTTTTTATTTGAGTGGGAATCACCCAGATATATCATATATCACTTGAATTTTTGGGTTTTCCAATTTCTCGAAATTTTTTCTGGTTTGCTGCTGGCTTTTTTTTCTTGCGCCATTTGACTTCTAACTGCTTTTGTGTGGCTCCAAACATATCTACATACATCTACATATGAATGTGCGATTTTTTTAAGGCGCTAACTAGGCAAAAGCCACCAAGTTAACCCAACTAGGCGTCCCTCGCCCTTCTTTTTTTCCTCTTTTTTATTTGGGTGCTGCTGTCTATTTGGCTTTGTTTGGTTGTCAAGCTGCTGTCCAAAAATAAAAAAAATAGCAAGACCAAGAGTACAACGCCGATTACGCAATGCGTTCACACAGACACAGACGGGCGAAAAATATACAAAAAATAGACACGCATACAGGCAAGGTTTTTGTTTCGTTTCCGCGATCAACGCGCTCGCGAAAAACTCACACAGAGCGAAAAAATATTCGCAAATAACAACAAAGTAGCTTGTGCGTGCGACCCAATTGGAAATTTGACACACATTGACAGCGGAGGAGATAGGCGAGCTAAAAAAAAAAGGGGGGTCTAGGGGGCTTAGGGGGTTCGGGGGTCAGGGAGTGACGAAGCCCAGAAGCAGCTGCTCAGATACAAAGATACATCCACAAGAAGCGCGGCTACAAGTTCACATGTATTCACTGTGTGCGAAATGTGTGCAAAATGATACCCTCACCGAAATTAAGGGTCCCATTCAGGTTTCTAGGCATTAGAAAATATTTGATATTTATTATTAAAATTTATTTAAATTCGTTAAACATTATTTAATGGCTCAAATAATTTAATAAAAGTATTTTTCAGAATGAAACAAAATTTATTCGTTATGTTCAACTATAGAAATCTACATTAATTTTCTAACATTTATATGGGCTTTGGACATGAAAAATATTTAAAAAACTTACTGAATTATTTTACTTTTAAGTAAATGTAATCAAATATTATCCAAGTAAAAACTTAAATAATAATTATAAATAAATAATAATATAAATTATAAAAATTTTAATAAGCTTGAATTATTTGACTTTTAAATAAAATATGGTTGCCACGTTTTTTCTATTCAAAATCTTTTTTTAAACAAATGAATTTTCCATCCGATTTTGAGGGCATTTTACGCACAGCTTCTGCGTTTTCCATGGCGAAATTAAAAAGAGAAAATTATAAAAAAAAAAGATATCGTCAGGGGGAAACACACATCTGTGGATTTCAAGTGTGCGAATGTGTGTTTGCACTCATTGCTCATTTGTTTCGTGGGCTTAGAGTAACTGGCAACTGGCCTGACCTTTGGCTTGACCGTGGGCGTGAATTGCGAATAGTTGCGAAAAATACAAAAAAAAAAGGCAAATCCACAAAAAAAAAAAGAAGCGAGAAATGGCAGACAAAAATGTTTCTAGCGGGCTGCTTGTCGCACAGCTGAAATTCAATGCTATCTACGCACACACAAATTAGTTCAGTAGGTGCTCTTGTTTTATTTTTTTCTATTTTTTTTCCTGACGTTTGGTTTTAATTTTAGCCGCTGTGGAAAATTAAACATTTTCTCAGCGCAAAATGCCAGCGATAGAGGGAGAGAGAGAGAGCAGTCGCTGGGCCCATAAAAAATTCGCACATTTCTGTCCTTGACACACATTGCGTATACGCAATCTACGCAGCCGGCTCCACAAGCTGATTTCGTTTATGAGTGCGTGCGAATTTTTTGCGTATTTTTTCGCATTTTTTTTTTGCGTTTTGCATTTGTGTGTGACCCACATACGAAATCAAACAGATACAGATAACATATGTTTTCCTATATATGCTTTGGAATTTTTGCACACTTTTTGCGGAAGACAAATTTGCATAGTTTGGGCGCAAGCGAAAGAAACATTTTCTCGGTCTTTGTCATTGATTAATGAATTTATCGGCTGTCTATTTATTTTTCCCGCCGAGAGGTCAGAAGGTCGCAAACGCATCGGAAAATCGCAGAAAATGACAGCTGCCAGGAAGAAAAAAACGCTTTGTACACATTTGCAGTATTCACAAAATGCCAAAAGTGAGCTGCGAAAATATTTGTGAAATGACCCTAGGTTAAACAATAATGTAATAATAAAAATAAGAATAGTTATACAAAAAATAATAAAATTAAATTTAAAATTTGATCAAATATAAATATAAATAATATTTAGTAATACAATTAAATACAATAATGTGATTAAAAATAATAAAAACAAATTTCTAAATATCAAAAATTCATTGAATGAAACTTTGGCTACTTCTTAAATTTATTTATCTAAAGCAAAGTGCAAAAGGGTCCAAATATATTGAAAAAAAATATTTTCAGAACTTTTAGGAACTTTTTAATCATTTTATATATTTCATCTCAATATTTACAAATTTATAATAATCATTTCCTCCTAAGTTTGTCACAATTGACTTGTGCTAACAGTGCATTTTCAGTTTTTCTTTTCTGTATTTTTGTACTTTTGTATTTTTGCCTAATGTCATGCGTTGAGGTGCTGAGAACGTGACTTCTGCTATTTTTCAGCATTTTTTTGTGCGCGATAACAAAATATTACTAATGTTATATACAAAAATTCCTAAATTGCATATATAGGTTATAGTTAGTAGATTTGCCATCATATATATGGGGTTCTTCCGAAATTCTTGTCAACGAATATTATATTATATGACAAGTGTGACTGATAAACGACACAAACGGCAAAAAGTTCGTTTCTATCTTGCGGATACTTTTTTTGCACATTTTTTTTGTGATGATTTTTTTTTATTTTTTTGTGTTTGCCAAACATGCGAAATTGCGTAAGCAGTAGAAGAGAGAGCGAGCGAGATTAGAAAAGCACAAGAGCGGGAGAATTGGCAAAAATAATATCGCTGGCACACACAGATACAAAACCAATACTATCGCAAGCGCACACATTCGCACGCTCTTCAACTTGACTTTGAAAAATGTTGACAGAGCGAAAAAAGAACAAGAGAGGTAGCGTTCGCGATTTTTGGCAACATTTTCGCCCGAATATTTTTGTTGTGTTTGTTGTTGT